AAGAGTATTTCAGAAAACAAAAGATATTCCTTGCTCCTGGATAGGAAGAAACAACTTTGTGAAACTGGCCATATTTCCAAAATTGCTGTACAGATTTAATGAAATCCCAGTCAAAATTTCATTGTCATGCCTCACAGAACTAGAGAAAACATTCCTAAAATCCATCTGGAACCAGAAAAGACCTACAATAGCAAAGGCAACCCTGGGCAAGGCAGAAGGTATCACAATCCCTGACTTGAAATTATACTACAAAACTAATGTGATTTAAAAAAAAAAAGCATGGTACTGCAAAAACACAGACCTGAGGATCAGTGGAACAGATTAGAAGATGCAGACACAATCACAAACATGCTCAGCCACATTATCTTTGACAAAGGGACCAAACATGTTCACTGAACAATAGATAGCCTCTTTAATAAATGGAGCTGGAAAAACTGGCTTTCTGAATGCTTAAGACTAAAACCAGACTAATATCCATCACCATGCACCAAACTAAATGGATAAAAGACCTGAATATTAAAACAGAAACACTAAATCTACTGGAAGAGAAAGTAGGTAGAAATCTTGAAGAAATAGGAGTAGGCAGATGGTTAATGAACAACAATCAAACTGCATGGGAAATATTTCAAAGAATCATCAACCAGTTTCTAATATTATGAAAAAGTTTTTGAACATCATAAGAAGCCACCAACCAAATGAAAAAAAATTAAATGAAACGTGTATTGATTAAAAATAATTTTCTTGCTATGTATAAGGGTCATTTCATCGCCTCAGCATTTTGCTTGGAACCATATTAGTGCCTTTTCATTCTCTGTCAGTCTCAGCCATCTAGATGCATCATGACCAATACTTGGGCCAAGTTGCTTTCTCTGAAAGCTTGGGAGACTTTTCTCTCTTGGTGACTCCTCTTAGGCACACTATATAGCATAGATCACTTTCCTCTGTGGTCCCACAATCTCCTTGGTCAGAAGTTCATATAACTCACCAGAGTTGCAGGCTATCATATCCTGGGTCTTCACTGATTTTGGAGGGCCAGGGGCTAATTACTGGCTGTGCTCCTATTGCATCTATTTTTCTACATTGTGTTTTTCAAACCTCAATTGTTGAACATTCAGAAGAAGAACAGTACATTGTAATAGGAGCAGTGAGCTTAACATAATAATTTTATCTGAATATCAAGCACTTTGAGGTACAAAGTAGAACCATTATTTCCACTTAACTATTGATGTTCTACTTTTTGAATCCCTATAGTATATTAACAGATAACAGCTATATAATTTTACACAGAAAATTTCCAACCAAAAGCATACATAATATTGTAGCATGACAATCTTGAAGACATTTTGCAGCACACACAAATGTCCATTTTGCCATAAAATAGCCCCTTAGTCAGTCATCCATATCTAGTACATAAGAAGCTTTTACCTAATTTGCTGATCTTTGATAAGATGTACATCAGATAAGTTTTATTATTACTCACTGGTGGTCTAATGTTGGCTTGGCATGAACCTTCTATCACAAGCAGTTGGAGAGCAAAAGAAAGGCAAACATTCAAATCTGAGAGAAAAAGTCTATCATGATAAACTATCCTGTTTTACATTTTGGAAGACCTGTATATATGGAGGCATGCATATGTTTAGTGTAAAATGGCCCTTGCCTCTGCAGCCTAAATAAGTAACTTTGGTTTTTTTTTCCCTTTTCTCTATGCTATGGATGAATATTCTGAGGATAGCAGCTGCCAGGGTAGCCCCTTGTACATTGAGGAGCCAATGTCTGTGTAATTTGAATCATTGCAGGCAGCATAGTCCATTGTTTGTGAGATTCTAAACCTCTTCATAGCACATATTCATATTTTCAAAGACTGATTGTTGAACAATCAACTTAAGGGATGACTCTCTTCTATGAAGGGTGAGAGGTTTAGCCTATTACTCAACAAAATTTCTCTAGATTGAAAATGCACAAGTTGCTGTTTGTGGCTAAGTCAGGTGTGTGCGTGAAAAATTCTTGGAAACATAAAAACTGCTGTCGTCGTGTTTCTGAGTACATACAGCGCTCATATTGATTGCACCGTAACTGGGACCCAAATAGCCCAGTAGGTGCCTGCGCAGTTCAGATGCTTTAATGGAGCTCATCTTCCCCTCAAATGCCATATTCACTGACTCTGACATCAAGGCTGGAAAGGACTTTTGGGATGCTTGGGCAAACAAGTTATTCTTGGGTGTCAAAGAACAAGTAGGATCTATTTTGTTTTGTTTTGTAAAATTTTAAAATTCTGAGATAATAATAAGATTAGAAGAATGCAGAATTGGGAGCATTCACGCATAAGGATTTAGCTAGGACCTAAATGGGAACCAATGCAATAACTTACCCAGCCCCACTAGGCCGGCATTTGCAGGCTCCAGCATGTCTATTTTTCATTTGAATTGTTCTATAATGCTATCCCCAAAATGTAGGTACAGGTTTGCCTTGCACACTGCATTAAGTTTACCAGTAAGTTCCGAAGCTGCTTTTCCTTTATCTTTTTGTAGCCCTGCCACCAACACACATGAGTACATAACTGGATCAGTATTTTCTAACACTTCTTTCATAAAGAAATCCAAGAAGCACATCTTCTCTACCTATACCCCTACTGTTCTCTCCCTCTCTGTCCTGTGCATGCCTGCCAGCCCCACAAGAGGTTATAAAGACTACCTATGCCCTAAGCCCACCCATCCCCTGTTCTCATACTCTTTCCAGGAGGCCTGAGTTTCTATAACTAACAATCTAACTGGTATGTGCTATGTTCAGTAAAAGTGATCATTGGTCTGGACTAAGATATTGGTGTCTTAGTAATCACTATGTTATTCTGTAACAAATACAGCTGACCTGGAGATTTCTCTTCCCAGACTATATGCCTATGGTCATGGCTAATAACTGTGGCCTGTCTCAGTGAAACTTTATCTCTGAAAGCTTTCAAATGAAAAAATAAAAGTAAATATATTTGTGCTGTCCTTTGTCCCTAGCCAGGTAAACAGAGAAAGAACAGAATTCTGTTTCAGGAAATTGGAAAGTGCATAGTGAGTGGTCATAGATCCTTCTTCTTGTACAGCATCCACTGTGTGTAAATCAAGTAAATGACTCCAGTTTTCTAAGATCCCATCACACCGAAGTTTCTCCCCAACCCAGACAGATCCCCACCTCCCTGGTAAAAATAAAAACACTTCTAGGTGAGTATTGGTCTATTCAGGAATCTCAGGTGGATCGTGACATGTTCATTGCTTAGAAAAACACATTTTGAACAGCCTTCCCTCAAAAACTTAAAGGGGAACTTATTTGGTGGGGAATAGGAGCAGAGAGTAGCTGCAAACATGTGCTGCTAAAAATAATAAACAATCTGTTGGTTTTTGCTGCCTCCCAGCAGCACAAAGAGAAAATTCTCTTCTAGAATGGCCCCCCTGTAAACTGCCCTCTGAGAACACGGGTGTCCTCGGGACTCCTGAGGGCTGGATGCACAGCAGAGGTTCAGCCAGGATTACTGGCTGAGGGCACTGAAACGGTGCACCTTACCTTTTGGCCAGTGTGTCAAATATGCTCTTGTTTTGTTCTCCACATATATCTGGGGTGGCTTCAACCACCTTCCTGGTTTTAAAGATCTTTGAACATTGTGCAAAGACTGATAGACTGAGACAGGAGGTTGCCAGCCTTTCCAGATCACAGGAGAATCCGTGTTTCTGTTGTGGGTGTGGCCTGGAATCTGCCCAGATGACATGGCTCACAGCTCTTCAGTGAACCACCCCCCCACCACGTACTGCCTCCATGTTTCCTTCCTTTTTCCACAAAAATCCCCTTTCCTACCAGCTCTTCTGCCTGTCATCCAGTTCACCAAGCCACGAGCCGGACTTTCTCTTCCATATCCCTCCCTGTTACTTGTTTCATGACGCCCCAGGAAAAGTGTCTTCATTAATCTTGTTTTGCTTTCTCATATTTTCCACAGCCTTATCCATAAAACTTTCCACCTTACCCTACATTGCTATTTCCAGGCCAGTGTTTACTGTAATCTACAATTAACTTTAACCTTTAAATGTGGTTGTAGTGTAGGAAATTTTAAAGATACACAAATATTAAGGTTGATGTAAACTGAATGCCCAGGTACACATGGCCCATCTCCCACATCTCTCAATTCATGGCCAATCTAGATTCATCCCTCCCCCCACTCCCAGCACTACCACTGGAATATTTCAAAGAAAATCTAAACCGTAATATTTTAATCTAGAATCATTCAATGCTTACCCCTAAAGATAAAGGATCCTAAAAATATCATAATACCATGTAATAACTAAATGGCATCAAACATCTAGTCAAGGCTCAATCAACTTGTCAATTCTCAAAAACTTTTCTTTTTTGAGCCAGAATATAAAGATAACTCTCACATATTTATTTCATTCATGTCCCTTATATTCCTAAAACCCTTTAAAATCTATATCTCCCACCAGCTGACATCTATCTATTGAAAAAGTTAGGCTCCCTGCCTGTAAAGTCTTCCCATGTGAGTTTTGCTGATTATATTAAATGGTGTGTCAATCACTCTCAGCTCTTCTATCTGTAAACTTGTGATAATTCTTGCTCCATTTACTTCATACCTTTGCTATACCTTCACTATTAAGATCAGACAAGAACATGTATGTCAGGTTGTTCTCATAAGAAAATTGCTCTCTACAATGTTCAAAAAAAAATAACAAATCTGCATTCACACACTAATGTTTGTATAAACATTTACTAAGATACTGCAAAAGCAATGTGTCAGATCCTTCCTGTGAGCATAGACTCCCTGTGTGTAACAGTGCCTGGGCGCGGGATGCAACACATAATCAAAATCAAATGCCAGCTTTTTTGCAGACTTGGCCAAAATAGCACAGCCCCAAACACCACTTAAACTGCAAGAAATCTGAGCATTTCCTAGTCTTGTTTTTTTATTATACTTGACATATACGTTTTAATGTTAATGTTCATTGCAGATCCACATCAAAAAAGCAAAAACATAAATGAAAACAAAAAGGGTTCTTATTCTAACTTAGCAGAAAGCCAAGCCATCAGTGTGAAGGACAGTGAAGTACAGCTGCTATTCATCCATGATCAGCTACATCAGGAGCATGCTGCCCTTTGCAGGGGCTTTGGTGACTCATGCACAGCAGTGGTGAGGAGCCTGGGCTTCCACAGAGCATCTTTTCTTTACTCTGGGTCCTCATCTTCGTCTGAAAAATGGGGGACAGACTTCTTTGCGACAACGTTGTCCAGCCTCTGTCCTTGTAGATACGGATTGACACTCTGAAAGCAATGATGGTTTGACATTATAGGTGAACATCAGATGTAGACATCTATCTCACAAGAGGAGTGAACAGCCACGGTTTCTTATCTATTGGGTTACTGACGAGGTAACAGTGTTCCCCACCAGCTACCTAAAGGTGACCTAGTGCACTAATGGCTTATTCAGTGGCTTATGAATACAAGTCAGTAGCGTGTCATTCATACAACCATAGAGTTCTTTATTAATTAGAATGTGGCATTTGAAAATGTATTATTTGGGAGCATAAAGATTTGGGATGAACCAGCTAGAATAAGTTCCTGCTACTAACTTTCTTGCTCTATGAGAAGGACAATTATTATTCTGTGTCCCTATTTAGCTAAGGATCTGAAGAACATTAAATTACCTTACAATAACTACGTTCTGAAATAGATGACAGAATAGGGCCAAGTGACTTAGAATCTCAAAATTGGTCCCAGGTCCTCCCATGGTTATGACTGATTCTTCCATGCTAGCTTCCCCCAAAGGGATTCATTAAGGCAAACATTTGTGTGATGATTTGCACCCTCCCTCGGCCAAATTCAAAACCTGAAGAAAAGAAGGAAACTTCCTGGAAGTCTACTTTGCTTTTGTCCAGGACTCCATGCTCTGAAATCTTTTATCAGTGATATTCCAACTGAGTCAAGGTTTTCCTACTCCTTCTCTAATACCTATTTTTTGAGGTTTGGAGTGGAGCTAGCAATTGAAGCTTTAGAACATAATGTTTAGCAAGCAGAGGAAGGAAAAGTTTTTAAAAAATTGGAAGATATTTGTTTATTTAAATTGCCTTCTGGTAATGGCACAAAACAGAGGTCGTAGTTACAGAAGACCCACAATTCCGTTACACACCAAGCCCTCATAATGGAGAAAGGCAGTTCACTCACAGCTGAGTCTCTGTTGTCCGTGGGACGGATCTGCTGTGACTCTCTGGGAAGGTTAGCAGACCTCTCCAGAAGAGGATTTGAACCTGAGCTTAGTATTTCTAGCTCTCTTTACATACAACTCATTCTGCAAGGTGAGAATTATGAAGTGAAAAAGGCCCTCAGGTAGCATGTCATTTCCAAAATACTCAAAATAATATTTTTCTATGGGGGATTGTCACTTTAGAGTATCTGGCCTATTCTAAGGAATCTGGTTGTGAAAAATGTGGACTGAAAAAAAAGCATATTTAATATCATAAATATTTTTAAATTTAGTGATAATATTTATTCAAAAACTCCTACTATATTAGAATATAAGATGCTCATGTTTACCACATATAATGGGACAAAGTCCTGCTACCCAGATCCAGAAAATGTCAAAGCCTGGAGATAAAGGGAGGAAAATGAAAAGGGAAGAACAGATGCAGTCGCAGGAATATTTTGGGTAAATATTTCACTTTCAGGATCAAATCCAACACTTGAGGGTAATAATATTAATAATGAGCATTGGTTTTCATATGGCCTGCAGAGGACAAGGCATACAGAGTCAGTTCACACAGAGAACACCATTCCCTTTTCACAGCTAGAAGAACCCCTGGAGATCCTCGCTTTGGTGTGTCCTCGACACCCTCAGCAGATGATTAGCTCCATCAGGAGGATGTGCTTATATTTTTTAAAAAGCAAGACTATAATTTCTTTATATTGATTCATGGTCTTGAGGAGGTGGCTAAGGTCTTCAAGCAAGATGGGGACACCATCTAAGGTCTGATTTGGGGGCGAGGCAATTTGTGCTTTCTCAGTACTCTAGAGAAACATGGCTTATGGCCTAAGAATGGGTCTTATGGCCTGAGAATAGGAAGAATTTGATACCTTTGGGTCAGTGTGAACTTTAATTTCCTAAATTCTAAGCCTTTCCTATGTGGAGGGAGTTAAGGCCAAAGTAAATTCCTTTATAATATGTGTGCTAGCCAGAATTTTGAGTCTTGGCAACCACTAGTCTCACGGAAAAGTGACCCAGCTTGTGAAACACAGCCATTCACCAAGTCAGGGCTAAAGGCATGGTGGGCCAGGAAGGCATAGCTGCATGCTGAGTTATTCATGTGAGGTCAATTGTTGGTCTTATTTGGAAATGTCCCCTCTGTGCCTTAGGGAGATGTGCAAGCCATCATCCTGGTAAATTATGTGTATTCTGCACTCCTAGAATAGAATTTCTTGATGTTCTCTCAAAAGCATTGTAGATTCTTCCTGTCGCCATCTGCCATTGGAAGCTGCAGACATCAGTGAAAACCACTCATAATCCTGTTAATTCTCCCAAACAATATCTGAGTCCAGATGTAACAACTCTCTGCTTCTCACATAGCAAGTCAGCTGCAGGTCAGTCTTCTGTGCACAGCAGCCAGAGGATTAATGCTAAGACCTGAAATCCACACTCTTAAGGCACTCCTAAATTTGGCAAAACTCTTCAGGACAAGCATAGTTGCCACTGTCCAGATTCCCCAGTTTTGCCAGGATTCAGGTACTTGTTACATGAATAAGTGGTTAGTGGCCTAGGATATGTTTTGCTTAGCATATTTTAACTAACTAACATGGTTACTATCTTATGGCAATTTACTATGTAACCATGAGCTTCCCTCTCCCCCAGCCCTTCCAATCTGGTCAAGGAAAAGGCTAGTGTCCAGGCCTTTCTATAAAACACCAGTGTCCATTAGCAGAATGGACATTGATCACTATTTTAGAGCCACAAAATGCATTGGAAATCCACGACAAATTTAGCATTCAGCTTTACACAAGGCAAAGCCACATACATAGCAGTCAGCAAACGAATATGACAGATGGAGGGAATTCTGCATCAGTTTGGCTGGGCCAAGAGGAAAGAGAGCTGGGAGAAAAGAGGTTTGCCATCTAGTCTGTTGCTCCCACAGTCCTTTATAATGATGGCTTGGAGCACACAGTTGGACACTTTCTAACCCCTGTCTTGTGTTTCTAGGTAGTGGGTGCAGGTGTGTCTGTGGGCTCACCTGCTGGCCTGCAGACGCTTTGAAGGAAGGCAAGATGCAGGCACTGCCTACATCTCCCGCCCACCCTCCCATACATCCTCTGATCGAAAGGAGGGATGGAATCAACACAAAACTGGGCATTTCACTAAAAATTATGTGCTAAAGTTTGGGGAAGTTATCCTAGAAGTCAAGGGCAGATGCTTTAGGTGTGGCCCCAGTCACGCAAGACCTCTGCTCAGCCCTCAGCACTGCACGGGTCAGGATTCTGCCACCCGCCAACAGCTGGCGGCTCCCACTTGTCAAGTGCCCCACTCAGTAAACATGAGTTTTCCCCCCAAACAGCCCAGCCAGTGAGTGTTACCCTCCGCTTCCGCCTCTGTCCTCCCTTCATCTTCGCATAAAGGAGTTTCTTGTTCTAGAGTGGGGAGAAAAGAAAACACATAAGCAGAAGTATGGATCAAATTTGGTGAATGTCTATTTTAAAAGCAATGCTTGGTGTGTCCCCTGGATATTTGCATACACATATTTTGGAAACAAAGCTAGATGAAAGGAATGTCATGTCAGGAAGATAGACCACAAGTGCAGCTTTCATAAAGCCCTCTGCAGGGCCCCGAGGCACACAGTGTCATCAACAATCACATAAACAGGAAAATATGGCATTTTATAAAACACAAGGGATCTGGAAACCCATCGCCTCACTTTGAACAGCCTTTGTTTAAAATAAATAATTTTATCTCAATATCAAACTCCCTTTTCATGAACAGTACACATGAACTGTTCTCTGGAGCAGTGTCTGAGAATTGACAACAATTCTTTGTGTAAACAAACAAGGCCCTATAGCTTCTGCACCCTCTCTTCTGGGGCTGAAGTCAGGGGCCCCAGTCAAGACAATTGGAAAATCATTTGGTCTATAACATTTTTAATAGAGTAAACCTTTTAAAAACTGCCAAAACTCTTCTTGGCAGAAGGGTGAGCTATGTTGGTGGGGGAGAAAAAGGGCTCTGTTGCCGCAGCTTGTGTAAGTGTTTCCACACATTGCCGCATTGCAAACACAGAGCGGACTTAAACGAGCGCTGGAGTATCAGACACATGTTCAGCACATTTTCCATCTATTGAGATTATAAAAGACAGAATGCTAAACCTGAAGGTAGAATCGGGTGCTTTACTTGTGCTGTTACATTAGATTTTTTTCTTTTTTTCTTTTTTCTTTTTTCTTTTTTTTTTTTTTTTTACTCAGAGAAAGAAATAATGCATAGAAGAGGCAGGTCAACCTCAGCTAAAGAAGATACCTTGATACTGACTTAGAAAATAAAAGAAGAAAGGGAGAAATGAGACAGTCCTGGTGAGGCTCAGGCTGACATCGCACGTGTATCTCTGAGCTCTCTAGCTACGAAGGTGGTTTGCGTTCTTCCTTAGTTGTAGGTGTGATCGTGGAAATGCCGAGTACAAGCTGAGCTTCCCCATTTTCACAGGCAGTGAAATCCGCCCCCGCTTGCGATTCACTGCGCTTAGCCCTCAGCTGGCCCCAACTCTGCAGGGAGGCCGCCCCAGCAGCCAAGGGGCCTGCACCGCCCAGACTGGCAGTGGGAGTACTGGCCGCGAGTACTCTGCCCAGCTGAGGAACGAACACTGTCTCAAGGCAGACAAGGCAGGCAGGCATGGGCACTGCCGTGGACTTGTTCCCTCCAGTCTGCGAACGTAAACAGCGTCTGGTGCACAGAGCGCGTTCTGCACGTTGGCGTCCTAGCCAGGGAACCGAGGCTGTGCAGGAAGAGGGCGAGAACAGCGCGCAGCCTGGTCCAGCTGCCTGAGCTGGCAGAGCGCAGGGGGGCCTGGGAGCTGGTGCCATGGGGTAGACTGCCAATCATCCTTGGCGCAGTTTCTGCTGGGCCGCCAGGGAAAAGGCAGCAGCATTTTCATGCCCTGTAGGTTGTAGAGCAGATTACATCTGTAAAAGCCTTCATTCAAAAAGAAATACAAAAGGTCTGGCAAGTCTTTGTCTCAAAGATGGTCCTGGCATTCCACCGAGAGCTAGGATTAAGATAAGTAGATGAATGCTTCTCCCCCCTGCAGCAAAGTGGCTGGGCCTTCTCCATTAGCCCTATTCTTGCCTGGGGTTGGCAAGAGCAGTGTGGGTCTAGACTAAGTATGCAAAATGAACAAGGGGAGCCAGTGATCACTTCCAACACCCATTCATTGCTGATTCCTTGGGGAGCAATAAGCCTGCTTTCTATGTAAGTCGCAGGTTTAAATTCATGATGAGGGCTTTCCATTGCACCATCAAGATTTTGGAAGGGCCAGGGAGATAGCTCAGCAGACTAAGTGCCCGCCTGGCAAGAGCAAGGACTGGGGTTCAATCCCCAGTACCACATGTCCTGCCTACCCCGCCCCAGTACACTGAGCAAGTGGGCCATAGAATCCAGGTGTGGGGGTGCACACCTTAATCCCAGCTCCAAGGAGTCTAAAACAGGAGGCTCACTATGAGTCCCAGCTGCATAGCGAGGCCCTGTACCAAATACATAAATTAAAAAAAAAAAATTGGGGGCACTTCCTAGTTCCTAGTTTCAAATTGCACTCCTAAGTGGAACTTGGGTGGGAGGAGTGGGAGGCTGAGGTAAGGCAGGCAAGTGTAAGGATGAATGAAGTGGAAATATCTCACGAGATCAGAAGGTAAGGAAGTCATCAACACTGATGGAGTCATGACACAGGGAAAGAAGGCAGTCAGAAGTGTCTCTGCCTGGCCACATTGGGACAGTTGAGCATCAAAATTAATAACAGGAATTCATGAGCCCATACTAGATAAATGAGCACATTGATAGATGTGTGATTGAGAAGTGGGGGGCAAGGATAAGCAGGGGACACTTACAAAAAGAATAAAAATATGAGAGTAAGAAAAACAGCCATTCTGAAACCATCCTACTTATAACTGGTTCTGGTAAACATCAGCTATGGATGATAAACGTGTAGGTTAAAAGTTTAGCAGGGAGCAGAGCGTTTCCGCAGTCTCAAGGCATTTTCTTACAGACTAACTGCTGATTTCAAAGAGGAAATGAGGATTTTATACCTGAGGAGTACAGTGAACATGACTTTTAACAAAAAAATAAAGTTAATGCCAACATCACAGGACAAAATGATATCATGTGCTTACCCAGTATAGAGTCCTAAGAATAGTTTGAGCATTTAGCTCAGTGGTTTGGTGCCTGCCTGGCAAGCACAAGGCCCTGAATTCAATTCCTGGTACCAAACAAACACCCTAAAGTGCTAATAAAAGTATCAAAAAGGCCTAAATATGTAGAAGTTTAATTAAATGTTTAACAACAATTAATTGTACACTTGAAAACATGGCAAAGAGAATTTTCAAATCTTCCTACATAAAGAAATGATCAATGTTTAAGACAATGGATATGCTAGTTACACAGTGTATATGTAGATTAAAATGTTACATTATACTCCATAAATAAGGACAATAACTATATGTCAACTAAAAAGCAATCTTTCATATAATATTTTGTATAACTTAAGTTGTATAACTTTAGTCTTATCTCATAGAAACTTGAGACAAACCCAAACAGTGGACTTCAGACATGTTGAGGTTAGGCAATACAGTCAAAGAGGAGTCCTGCCCCCATTTCTCCTATGGTTCAAGCTCTGGATATGATCAGCTATTGAAGAAAAGGTGTGCAAAACAATTTAAAAAGAGGACTTGCCATCTGAGACAATTGAGAGGACTGCTGCATAAAAGGTCATTTATTGAATTTTTAAGGCGCTCTGGAGTCAGACAACTGAGTTCAATTCCCAGCTCTGCCAATTAGTGCCTTGTGTGGCTGAGTGGGTCACTTACCTCCCGAAACATGCATTTTCTCACTTATAAGATGAGAGCAATGAGGATGGGCAAATTGAGTTGGATAAAGTAACGTATTTAGCCTAGCATCTGGCACGTAGTACATGCTCTGTAAACACTACTATTTACTGCTGTATTGTGTAATGCAATTATGATTCCTTGGCATATCTTCATATCTAACACAGGGCCCAGAAGGCATATGACGTACATTTAATAACTGTGTCTTGATACATTAACAAAGAGGGAGACATGGGGAAACATGACAGACTGATATTTATAACATGTGAATCATTGCTAAGGATACAGCTCAGCTCTGGCTAATGTCAAAAACAGAGACATGTTAGTAGCAAAAAAGGAAATGGACTTGTATGTGGTTTTGTTGTGAAAGATGATTGTTACTTTGTTAACTTAAAGAATGGTTGAGTTAAAGACAAGTGTGAAATTACCACTCTATATAAATATAGAAGAAGGTCTACGAATCCCAGCTTAGAAAAATGAGATATACTCAGTTCACACTCTGATATGAAGACCAAGCAAATCTGGTTCACTACTAGGTGGTAATGAGAAAATAAAAAAGGAAACAAGTTAAAACAAACATAGTTACAGATGACAAAAATTGCGTAAACATTGTGTTGACCACTGATCTGTGATTGTCTCTTTCATATGGTCCTAAGTTCTAGTTTTTAGCTGTGATGGAGGCAGAAAATGGGAATGATTGAGAGAAACTCAGATCACTATTTTGAGAAGGAAGCAAAGAAAGAGACAGATGGTGGATGGTCCTATCAAGTTCTGAGAGTGAGTGGAACTTGGTGAGAAACACTTGTAAAGGTTTTCAGGAAGAGGTAAGAAGAATTGGAAAGAGAGAAGTTTCCCACTCCACACCACCATCTGGGCTCTCTGCCCTCACTTGGATGTTTTCCCTTTTTTTTTTTCATGTTGAGCCTCCAGTTAAGCTGGATACATTCCCACCTGAGACTTGGGGCTGCCCTTATTAGAGCTTGGACTTTCTAGGCAGCCACTGTAACCATCAGGCACCATGGCCCCCAGCGCTGGATCACCCTTTTCCTTGGCTTCCATGTTCCTCAGCAATTGCACCCAGCCCTCTTAGTACAGCAAAAACCAAAGCTGAGAAGATTCTCATTGCCCATAAATGAATCACAAGACTGTAAACTATTGGAAAATCAACCCCATGTCTTTATGAGTATGGTATACTAAGTGCAAAGCACAGCACCTGAAGGAAACAGTCTCAGGACCTTCTCTTTCCCTTTACACCTTGTTGAGCAGGCTCAGTATTCTTCTACTTGTTCCTTGCTTCCATACTTTGGCAATACTTTGCCCATCTCTTGAGATTCCTTCCCCCAGAGTGCTCCTCTGTGATCTTTTGGTCTTCCCCTCCTTCTCTCTGCTCCTTTCCTTCCTCTCCTCCCTGTCTTCCTCTCCCATCTTTTTAAAATGCCTTCATAGGAAAAGTTAATTATCATCTATTTTATATAGACCTAAAATCTCTCTTCTTTCTTCTTCTTGTTACATTTATGTCAGATAACAATTCCAGTTAGTCTCTCTGCCTTGAAATGTCATAGATTCTCACTTTTCTTCACATAATTATAACCATTATAACTAGAGTTGCTACCTATATTTCTTCCTCTCCATAGTTTCTTCTTTTACTTCATTGTCTAACATGCTATCAAGACAACTTTGATAGAAGTCTTTCACAATTACAGTCTCTATTTGAAAGACTGGAGGCATTTTTCTGTTTATTTACCATGTAGATTTGAAAATGGATCCACAAACCAGTTCTTGCTAATATTTGCCATGAAACTGATCAGAAGAATGGGGGTGTTCACTTTTGAGGTTTCAGGGCTAAGAGTGGATGGAGGCCCTAGGTGGCCAGGAGTACCTGCTCTGTGCTCATCCACCACACTCGTTCTCTTACTCTGCAGACATACAGCCACCCACTCTTACATGAGAAGTAACTCTCTGAAATGTTCTCCTTTTCTCACATGGTGTCCCCATTTGATTACATAGGCCTAACCCTAGGAACCCAGCCATATCCCCACTCAATTTTAATCTTGTTTGACTCGCTGTTCCCTCCTGTTGGGATGTTCTTGAATTTCCACTGTGTCATCCAGTCCTTCCCATTCTGTACCATCCTCTGAGAATCTGATAAGTACATGCTCTATAATTTTATTGCAAGCATTGGTAAAAATTTGGAGTGGGGTAGGGCTGAGACAAGCAGAACACTGTGCAAAATCTCACTCCTTATCGACATGCGTTCTTTAATAAGCTCCCTTTTGGTCATATTCTGTTGCTTAGGCTGCATGGCTCTACCTCTTCCAATAGGAGATGGTAAAGGATCTTGTCAAATATGTTCCTGAAGTCCAATGCACCATGCCCATTTCATTCTCATCAGGCTTGCAAGTAAATGAATGATGCTGTCAGGTAAAGGAAGGCAGGTTGGCAAGATGTGTTTTTAGCACATCAGTGCCCATTGGCCATTTCTCTTTCACAGTGCTTATAAGCAACTCCCCTAACTGACTGCTGTATATACTGCCTGAGACTGACCACAAGCTCACTGCTTCATATGTAGAAATCTTTTTTCTTTCTGCGAAGCAGAATTACATATGACTGTCTCTATCCTTTTTCCTTGATTCTCCATTACTCTAAAGGAATGGGCTATCTCCCTTAGCCCAAAGATCAAATTTGCAAGCTTTCTCTGTATGTTTTTCTTAAAAATCACTTTGACAAAATTTCATGGATGCATGAGAAACTGGTAAGGTGTGAGAATGTATTATGACCCCAATGTGGAGTAGACCAGAGCAGAAGTCCCCAAAGACTAGAGAGGGGTGTGATCTTGTTAGGCTATGCTTTCTTTGGATGATTTTGATATATTGCTGCCGAGGTGCATGAGTGTGGTTTGGGATGATAGTCACTTTAAGTCCCTCTCAGCCAGAGATTTCATGAAAACTGAGCTTCCAAATATTTTTTCTTCTCTCCCTCCACCCCCAGTACTTGTCTCTTCCATCAGTGCCTTCAGAGGATCATATGCAAGGCCACTAGCAGCTCCATCTGGACTTACCCACTTGCCCAAGCCTGGGTAGTCATGCTCTGGATCAAAAAGGTGCTGGTGCAACTGGAATTCCCGACTGAACTCTGCTGTGTCAGGGGTGTTTTCCAAACATCCGTCATCTGCTGCAAACAGCCAAAGGGTTTTGATGAATGGCCAAGGCATTGATTGTTATTCTGAGTTAATTCATCAAAAACATCTAGACATACAAAAGTTAGTGAGTGTACTACTATCAACCTCTCCCAGTCCCTGTTCTTTGTGGAGTCAATCTCCCTGTTTAATGGAATGTTTAACCCACCTTCCAATCCTGTAGCAAAGATCTGACCTATTGGCTGTCCACTAACTCCACTTCTTTTTCCTCCTTGGCATACAACAAGGCTAATTTCCCCACCTTGTTTTGTGTTCATGTGGAGCCATAGACCTGAGTTGGGTCTAACTGAATGTGGACAGACATAATGTATCCCACTTCCAGGCCTGGCCCATAGAAACCTCCTGTGACACTCTGTTCTCCACCCCTCACCATCATCTGCAGTCTACATGCTGCATGGTACCACTGAGGGCTTGGTGGGCATCAGTGCAAAGATGGGAATTTATAGTGCCAAACCAACCACCTTCCTTCCCCTCACCCACTCCTGGCAGAGCCTCATGCACAAGTGAGAAATTAATTTCCTTTGTGTTGAGTTACTAGAATATTTTATCTGTTATAACAGAAATTATTTTTGTAACGAGTATACTTCCATTCCACATCATTCTCTATTTTCTCCTGGGGAAACTCTTTAGAAAACACGTTAGCAGCTTTGAGGAAGTATATTATAAAATAAGAACAGTAACCCTTAGGGCTTGATGCTATATGTTATAGTAGTAATGGCTATCCCTTTGGTGTCAGACCAGAGCTCAAGGACTGAAGCCCCGTTCTGCCCTGGGGAAAGTTAGCCTACCTTCTTTGTGGCTACTTATTCATGTCAGATGCAAATAATCAAACACTTACAAAGTTGCTATGAGGAAGACAGATGATCATGTAGGAAGCACCAGATACTCAAGCTTGTAATATATTTTAGTCTCCTCCCCACCATTCCCTTTGAATGACTATTGTGTGATTTCACTTAGTGACAAAGTGTATTTTGTATTTATTTACTTATTATATATATTTTTTTCAATTTAAATCAAAGAAAGAAGGTTATCTCTAGGGTGCTACTATTAGCTAAGACCTAGCTAAAAGCTCTCACTAGGTGTGATGCTCTAAAAATGAGTCCTTTTTACCATTCTAATATGCTTTACATTGCTTTAGAAAGAGGGAAATCATGACACACTGGTGCATTCTTGTAATCCTAGCTACTTGGGAGATTGAAGCAGGAGGATCACAACATTTGAACCTAACTTGGGAAACTTAGCAAGACCTTCTCTCAAAGCAAACATGAGAAGCGTGCAGCTTGATGGTAGTGCATTCAGTGCATTCTTGGGTTTAGCCCCTAAGATCAACTAAATCCACTTCCTGCAGGGGAAAAAAAGGGAAAGATAGAGAAGAGGTGGCAAATTTTGTACAATGCTGCAGAGACGGGTAGAGGGTCACTTTTCAAAGAGATGATCATGCTTCCAAGTCAATACTGAAAGGAAATCTATTTAAAATTAGTCAAGATATGGTTTGGGGACTGAGTAGAAGCTTCCAGAAGCCTAAGGCATGAAGACTCTGCTCTTAGCAACTTGGAGGTAGTGAGGAAGGCTTTCACACTCTGGACGAATCCTCAAAGCGGCTTGAAGGTGGTTCCCCATTTTTCACTGAGCTATTTCTACTTTTTTTCCTCTAAAACAATCATCATGTAGGAAAGGTGTACTGGACAGAGAGTTCTAGCAGCTGCCTGTGGCCATCTGCAACCTTTCATACCTGCTTCCCAGGTACCTCTGAGTGGGTTGAAACAGACATTGAGATAAAACACTGCTCTGGCACCTGGAGATCTGGAGTCTACACATGTGCCCTAGCATCGTCATCCCAGCCCTGAGGCCAGTGTCTCTGTACGTATCACACACAATTCCCTGAGTCAGGTCTCCTCAAGCACTTCACATAAATAATGGCTACATTTGGCAAGTTATTTTCCTTTTAGTTTACCAACTGTAGTAGAACAAATGATGTGCAAGGTATTGGATTAGTGGGAAAATAGCAAAGGGAAGAGCAGACAATATGCAAACAGAGCTGGGACTCTCTCTACCTCCACCAGTTCACGTGGATTGTTTAGCTCTCAGGTCCTCAGGTGCACAAAACTAGCTGGATTGTATTCTGCTTTCCTTTTCAGGCTAGAACTGCACTGTGTGTTTCGTTAAGGCAATCCTTTGATGCAGGAGGAGACAGAGGCCCAAGGAAGTGAAGGGATGTGCTGTAGTTAATAGTAGGACTCAGATCCTTTGGTTAAAATTCTGAGTTGCTTTCTTTCTCTTATAACAGCAGGTCTCAGACTCTCACAGCAGAATCCCTTGGAGGGATGGTCACCACACTGCACTACTAATTCAGTGAATCCGGGAGAAGTCATGAAGCTTTGCATCACTAATAAGTTTCTGGCCGAGGCCAGGCAGGGTCACACTTTGGGAACGCAGCATTACACTACTCTAATCAACCTAATCGGCCACCCCTGGAGACTGCTGCTGTCCAGCCTGAGCTGGGTTTCTTCCCTACCCATCCCAAACCCTACCTGCACACACACAAAACATGGCTGAAACAACTGAAGCCAGGCAGTGACTCAGGTTTTCCCACCATCCTGGGCCAGCAGCTCCACATTAGTGTGATCCCATCCATCTACTTTTGTTGTTGTTCCACCTTAAGATGGGGCTTTGCACCCATGGAAGACAGAAAAGGCCACACTAAGTGATAACACGTGCACCTTCCTAAAGAGAGAGCCTGCTTTGTAGCCCATGTTAGAATTTCCAGTTTCCTCCCCAATTCCCTTTACTGTCCATAGTAACCCAAAGGTATGTCCTTTACCTGTTTTGCCAACTGGACAGGGATTTGGAGGGTCAGGGTAGCCCTGATCTTCACTGAAGTCCTTAGGAATGTTGTCACCAGTCAACTCTGCCACAATGTTGGGGATGTTGCCAAAAGGACCCAAGTGCTGCAGACCTTCATGAGCTCCACCTGCCAGGAAATCAAAAGCACATTCATCGCAGTGCGGTTAAGTTCATTTTGGCTTGTATTCCGTCTGGCACTCACACCATACAGGTAAAGCACTATGCCCCATGCTGTGCGACAGAAAAATAAATGAAACAGTTTCCTACCCTCTAGAGGTTCAGAAATTCAGCTATAGAAACAGGCACATTCTGTATATTTACACACAAGGCAGATTGTATCCATGCTGTAATAGAAATGTTAAGACAGTTTTAGCATTCCAGGGGCATGGAGTGAGAAGGTGTCCCGAGGCTGGTGGGGAGGGAGGGCTTCTCGGCTGACTGGAACTTGTATGGCACTGATACAGATGAATGAGATGCCTGACGCTGGGCATGGAGATGGGAGAGGGATGGGGACAGATAGGGAGGCAATGGCCCACTGAAGGAACAGGAGGGGGACACTGGTAAGGAGCCAAGCACTCTGTCAGATGACTGCAACCCTAGCTACTTGGGAGCCTGAGGTAGGACAATCAAAAGTTCAAGGCCAGCATTGACAATTTAGCAAGACCCTATCTGAAAACAAAAAAAGACCTGGGGATGTTGAATCCCGCTGGGTTCAGCCCCCAATATTACAAAATGTCAGGGCTAGAGATCACTAACTCAGTCACTTAAAACTTATTGTATTTCATACAATTTTTTTCTTTTCAGTATCTTTTCATGCAGATATTTAGTCTTTCATTTTATATTAAAGCACAAGAATCTTTCCATTTGCCTGCAGTTGTCTATGCCTGTAAAGTTGCTAATGGCTGTAGTTTTTATCCAATTATTGTAGCACGACATATTAACCATTCCCCTATCGTGAAGAAGTTAGTGTTTCCCAGTTTATTTTAGGCCTTTTAATTTTTTCCATATTTTGGATTCATCTTTCTCAGGATGAATTCCCAGCAGTCCAATTACTGGGTCAAAGCCATAAACATTTTTTATGGCTCATGATATTGTACTGCCAAATGTTTTCCAAAAGGGACATACTAATTTATAAAATACCACCAACAAAATATGAGAATACTATTTTTACAACATCCTTACCAGCACTGGGCTTTATAAAAATAAAATTGAATTTTATTTGCTAACTTAAATTTAGAAAAAATTAATAAAACAGTGATTTCAGAAAGTTACCCTTTTGAATGTCTTTGATTATCAGCTCAGTCAAGTACTTTTCCCTTGTTTATTTACTACGTTTAATTTCTTTTTATGACTTGTCTGTTTATACTCTTAGAATTATAATGTTTCTTTTATCAATTTGTTCAAGCCTTTCACATAATAAATACACCAGGCATTTGGCTTCGCACTTTCTGCACGCATTTCCCATGCTGTCTGACTTTTAATCCTGGTGGTTATTATATTTTGCCAACATAAGTTTTTAATATTTTCATAGCCAGATTGCTTTTTCTCTTGTGATTTCTCCTTGATCTAAACTTGCAACACTGTCTCTTCAGAGGTACTACAACCTTTCTTTTGCTCAAACAATGTTTAAAACACAGATTTAGTTTTTCTATTTTTCAAATTAACTTTAATTTATGTTATTTATTTTAATGTATGGAAAATAGTTTATCTACAATCTCACCAGCATTTGTTAAATAATTCTGTCTTTTTTCAGTTATCTCCTGCCTCCGACAAATGCCCAAGCGCCTCATGCATATCAAACCCTTCTTGGAGCCCGAGACCCAGAAATGAGTATTAACAGCTCACAGCGCAGAATTTGATTTACTCTACATAAAACATACATGCCAGTGTCTTTGTATAGCTTTAACATCATATAAGCTTCCTTTTCCCACAGCAGAGGGAGGCACATCTTGGGAGGAATTCATGTTTATCAACACCACTGGGACACAGCCACTCCATGCACAGAGCTGTCTTACAGAGACCTTGTACTCAGTTGTAAACACGAAAGGCCAGCTCAGAACCAGAAGGTGACTTGGGAGGAATAAAATTAGAACTAAATCCAGGGGATATAATGTCATGCTTTCACTGTCACAGAAAGATTTTGCCCTTTGGCCGGAATGTCCAAGTTCAGCCACATGAGGCTCCCTTCGCCCTGGATAAGAACGGGCACTTGTTTCAGTATTTTGGGTTGAGCCAACTCCTGCTAGATTGACATTTTTTTGGTGGGGTGTAGGGGAGTGTAAACATATTCAGTAAGATCATGACTGGGTCTCAGTGTCCCCTGAATCATATTGCCTTTTTGAAATGACTTCGTAGTACTCTCTCCATTTATTATGACTGAAGTTAATACAAATACAAAATACAAATACAAAACAAAAAAAGAAGACAAAGCTTGTCTTCCCCAAGTCCTCTGGCACTCAGAGTCGGACACACCAAGAGAGATTTCTTGTGTGTGCTTCTATTTTATTTCATTACTTAGTGATGAGAATAAGTAGCTTCCAAATATCTGCCTTCAGGAGAGACATTGTCTTTATAGATTACAGCTCATGTTTTGTAAGTTTTTTCTTGTAAATATTGAAAATATTTTATATAATCCAAAAATGCCTAAATAGGACCAATTACTCAATATTGTTGATTGTATTCTTTCATCTTTGTGCACACTTTATGATAATCTGATGGCTCCGTGTTAAAATCTACTACTACCAGGAAGCATCTGTTAGTCTCATATTTCTCTTTCTACTTTGCCATTTTGATGCCATGTAAACTGACATGTCCAAGGATATACATTTTTTGTGTGTTTTAATTGTGTAATTGGACACTAAATGCTGTGTAATGCATGGCTCGCATTTTCATTCCTATTTCTTTTATTAGCTGGCTAATCTTATTGCACCGATTTGGCATTTATTTTTGAGCTTTCTGTATCTTTCTCACGGCTTGTGATGGTTGCATTCAGAGGTGCCCATGGACACATACTTGTTACCCTCTGTTAACCAAAAGCTGCAGAAACTGCAGCGACGCGTCAGCTCCCTCGGTCCTGCTGTGTGTGAGGCTCTGTGTAGCCTTGGCACTGGAGCCGCCACTGTGCTAGCTACAGGGCACGGTCCATAGCATGTCAATACCTGCCTCAACTTTTGAAAGCACCCTAATATTAAGTACCAGGAACTACCCAACTTGGCTCAAGGGGGAGTACACGCCTTAATGCCCCATTAGTAATTAATGAAGGAAGCAAACACAGCTTCCCTGTGCACGGCCTGCCAAGGCTCTGTTTACCTCTGTGAACCAGTGCCATGAAAATGAATGCAGCACTTGTGAGGCAGGAACAGATGTTTAGAACCAGGTAGATCTGCTAGAGCACAAGCGCTTTTCTGTCTTTTTTCTTTTTTATGTATTTGGTACAGGTCTCACTACACAGCTCAGGCACATAGTGATCCTTCTTTTCATCCTCCTCACTGCTGGGAGTACAGGCATGAGCCACCACGCCTGGCCTCAGTGGTTGGCTCAGCGCACCCGGGGGTGAGGCCCAGATGGCATGTGGTGCTGGGGGTTGAACCCCTGTCCTTGTGCTTGCCTAAGCAGGTGCTTAGTCCTAAGCAGGCACCAGCCCACACAAGCGCTTTCCAAACTACATTTAACGACAGCAAATCCAGACACATCCACTAAGGTAGGAACTATGGGAGAGATGTAGAAATAGGAAACGGTCTTCTTTGCATTTTAGAAGCTTGAATTTAATGACAACTAACTCTATAGCAGAGAATCAAAGTTTAGTTGTATATATAGGAGGGCCACAAGGACAGCCAACATTTGGCCCTAGCCTTTCAAGGTCAGTGAAGACTCAGGACATATAAGATCCTGAACTGTAACATCATATAACTCAGTTGTGTCCCAAATTTTCTGATTAAGGAGATTATGGGGCCAAAGAGGAAAGTGATCGATGATGTAGAGTGCACCTAAGGAGAGTCACATGGAGAGAAAACATTCTCTCAGGCTTTCACAGAGAGCAAATTTGTCAAGCAATGGCCGTGACTCATCTACATGACTGACACTGACAAAGGTTCTACAATCTGAGGTACAAGGTCTCAGGATAAATCCTGAGGGGATTTGACTGACCTTATCAGACACAAAAGCTACAATTCTTGTTACAGAGGTCTTGCTTTATCTTGGTCTTAACCATCCATCAGAAAAGTATAAAAACAAAGTGCATATATAACCAAGTTCTAGTTATTTGGTTTATTATCTTATTGAGATTATATTGATCTATTATATCAGCAGCCAAGTCAACCAAAATATTACGATAATAATATGGGTGATAGATAGTTGGTATACTTACCTCTGCCTCCTGCATGAAAAATCAAAATATGTTTTAAAATTATTATTCAATCAATTTAGAATTCTTTATTAAGCACAATCTAATAGTAAGCCCTAGTATGTGTGCCTTGCTTTCATAGAGTTTATGGTATAGAAGAAAGAGACATATGGGCTGGGGAGACAGCTTGGCAATCTAAGCACATGCCTGGCAAGTGCAAGGACCCGGCTTTGATCTCCAGTACTATATACCATACCAGTCCTGGAACCCCAGGCACACTGTGCCAGTCCTGAAACCAGGTGTGGTAGCACATGCCTGCAATCCCAGCACTGGGGAGACTGAGACAGGAGAATCACTATGAGTCCAAACTGCATAGTGAGACCCTGTATCAATCAAAATAAAAAAGAGACTTATAATCCAGCCAGTTGTAATACATTTTGTCATATAACAAGATATAGCATGATGTTACAACTATGTAGAAGAGAAAAGTCAAGCATGGCTGCAGAACGTGGAAGACTTCTGCAGGAAGTAACACATGGATGATCTTTCTGGGTGCTACAGAAGATCAAAATGTGAAAGACATGGTGCTTTGTTCTCTAGTAGCTTATTCAAGGCTAATACAATAAGCTGCAGTACGTAGTAAGATGTATCCCTCACAGAGCTCATTGTGGGCTAGACGTCAGATGGTGGTATAGACATGGGCAGCTTGGAGGGAGTGAAGGCTTACTTCAAGACTGTTACAGAAACTGAAGCATGAAGTGACAAGGATTGGGATCAGGGTGACC